ATTTCAGCTCGAAACATCGATTAAAACTCGCCATCCCTACTTCCAGCGTAACACAAGCTGTCGAATGGGGTAAGATTGGGGTCCGGACGAGGGAGGGCGATTTTTTCGAATAGATCGATTTCGGGATATCGATTTGATTTGGAAATCGGGTGGGAAAAATCGATTTCAGAAACAAATCGATTTTTTTCGAAATCGATTTTAAGACACCTAACAATCAAGTTCGGATCCAAAAACATCTACTAAAACTGAACTTGAAATGAAACAGGGGTTTCGCAGAACCTAGGCCTCATGTGTGGAGAAGATCTGCCGGAATCTCGAGAAGGGATCACGTAAGGAACGAAAGAGTGCGTGAGATCATGAACACCGAGCAGAGCATCGTGCATGAAATTACGACCAAACAGCTTGGCTGGTATGGTCATGTTCAACGAACGGCGAATGACAGATTGCCTGAGAAGGTGAAGAAGTTAACAAGCATCGTAATCATTCATCCAACGAGAATTCGAAGAATCTCTCCAAAGACTATCAAAAACTTGCGCGATGCCGCACATTGGATCGATTCAGTAGGAGAAGTTGGACAACATTTGGAAACTTGAAATGATTATAACTCCATTCAAACAAAATTTTGAGGTTTTAAAAGTTGTTTCATTGGTTTTCTGGTGAAATTTTCCTTCAGAAGCATCTATTAAAAGTCAAAATGTGATGAATTATACACAAAAATTTTCGGTTTTAGTCAAACATTGCATGTCCGACCTCTCTGATTGCCTTGATCCACTGTGCGCCGGTGGCGAGGCGTCAATGATCGAGTATCGATATTTCTCCATCTGAAGCTATAGTTAAGAATCGATTATTAAGATGTTGGTTGCGAATACCGCGTTTATCGATCCTTTTACATAGGTTTAAATGGCATATCGACCATCGATATATCGCAAAGCACACCACGCCACGCGCGATGCGTGAACCTGAGTTTCTCGGGCTGGACGCGTGCCTGCATTCCGGTGTCGTAATTTTTTGTCGCCTCCGATTGTGAGGTGACTGCACAACGAGCACAAAAAAGGCCTCCAAACAAATTTTTTATTCATTGAGTTTCATTTCGATCGGTATTCTATGGTAGCCTCGACAAAGCTACCGTCTTGATGTGTTATGACGAAAACTTACAGTTTCGAAATACTAAACTGCAGGGTGATTATTGGTATTGATAGAGAAAGAGGACAAACGGAAAACGAAGCGAACTTATTAGTTGAAACGTGCGGTTGTTATAGACAAAGGTGGAAAATAATGGCTTGCCTGACGACAACCCAAGAGAGACCCTATACTTGGATTAAATTTTGCAATAGGGAACCACGGGCTCTGGCTTTTCCATAAAATCACCTTTCTGCTTACGGAAACCAATGGCATATATGTTGTTTCTAAAATGAGCCATAAATAACGGTTCCTTATTGCAAAATGTGGTCCAATAAGTCCAACATTTGCTTCCTTACCCTGGTAAAAATTGGCGATAAGAGCTGCGTTTCAAAATACCATAGGAATTCTTATAGCCGGCTAAAGAAGGCTACAGAAAATCATATAGCTGGCCGTAGAATGCGGAGAAAATCATACGGCCGGGCTATACGGAGCGATAAAAAATTATGCAGCCGGGCTATATAGTTCCTATAGCCGGGCTTTACACTTTATCGCCTGGCTGATGCTTTTTCGCCATCGATTATAAAAGGCTATAAGAAATTGTGTAGAAATTCGTGTGCTTTGGAAATCATTAAGTTCGATACGGAACGACCACCTTAATATTTACAAAACACACGTTATTTTTCCTTTAATACATATTTTTCTTTCATCAATTAAAACGAGAATAATCCATACAGGATGTGTAAACATATTTCAAAATCATGAGTTGAATAACGCTGACTCCGCCAGATTAAATATTAGAGCCTAACACAAAGCGGAGCGGCGACGCACTGGCGCCTACAAACCTAACAGGGATACTTCACGCATTGCGCAACGCGTGAAGTATCACTGTTAGGTTTGTAGGCGCCAATGCGCGTTTTGTGCTGGCTGCCCGCCTGCCGCGCCGCAGCGTGCCACGGCGCTTGAAGCAACTATTTCACACCAGAGGTATTGCACAGTATCATACGAAACTGAAGGTGCTCTTATAAATTAGTAATGGCAGGCATCCATCAAAAGAACGGAGCTTTCCTCGCAAAATAAATCAAGATACTACGGCTCAAAAAGAAAGCAGTGGTCCAAAAACTCACCAAGTCCTAGCATCCGAAATTAGTGACGTTTAGCATACACTTTATCGCCTGACTGTGAGTTGCTTAATCGCCATCGGCTATATAAAAGGCTATAAGAAATTGTGTAGCCGGCTATAGAAGCTATTGGAAATCTTACAGCCGGCCGTAGGTCTATGGTATTTTGGAACACAGATTCTACTGCCAATTTTTACCAGGGTAGTCTATAACAACCAATCGTTCAACCAATGAGATTGCTCCATTTTCTCTCTGTCCTCTTTGTCTATGGCTTTGTCTATCAATTACAATAATTAGCCCGCTGTGGGGGCTCTGTTTCTTAATTTCTGACAAATTGAGATGGCAATAATGGCTTATGCGAGAAACCTTGTTCTGAGAAAAACTCATTTGAAGTTTTACCTCTGTGAATGACATGTCTTGTTTTTCAGAAACACAGCGGGTATTTTTTAAGGTTTGAACCCCTCCTAAAGAGTAGCTATGCATGAATTTATCAAATAATTTAATTCGAGATATTTTTAGATTCTTTTAACAAAGTACGGTTAGTGCTGTTTTTGCGCCTGCTTACAATTGAACTTGCGGAAATTTGGGTGAATTTGAGAGTAAAATGAAAGAATGATAAATCTTAAATATGAATTTATTCAATGCTAATGTAAATACGGAAATTCTAAAGAAAAAGAACCTCTGAAAATAAAGTATTTAACAAACAAAACGAGTCCGTTTGGCTTATTAAAAACTTAATAAAAGTATGAAATCTGTAAAAAAATGAAAATAAAGCGGCTTAACCAGAATGATGAAAACGGAATGAATTGAAACCAAACATTTCCCACTCACAACTTCATTTACAGATAATTTATCGTATGATCGTAATATTTACAGAGATACTTCTCGAGTGCAGCATTCGATGTCGCTTCTAGGCGCAAAAACTACAAATATACACGCATATGCCATTATTGCTGGAGCCTAGCCGCCTCGACTGCAAAAAGAGTCCACTTTTTGCAAATTTTTTTTATTTTATTCAAAAAAGAGTATAAGACGATTTCAAGATGGGCATCGATTTTCACCATATCAAGGAGTGGCGTGGCGTGCTTTGCATTCTATCGATTGTTCGACTGCCATCTAAACCTATGGAAAAGGATCGATGAACAGGGTGCTCGAAACGAACTTCTGAATAATCGATTTCATTACCATAGCTTCAAATGGGGAAATATCGATGATCGATTATTTTCAATGATCATCAGGTGACTGCGGAATCGTCCTCAGAGTAAATATTCCCATCGTCTTCCAGCGTTTATTTCTGACCTAGTGAACACTGTAATGAGCTTAAGGTAGCCAAATTGTGCCATAAGTTTCGATATTTTACGCGGGTTGAAATGGGTGAAAATAGCTGAGTTTCCAGCATCATTTGGCAAAAGTATCCAGAAAAAGAAAACTACTCGGCGCATTTGAACTTGGGATACTTTTCCGGGTAGGGTGCACGGATGTACGGTCGCCGGTTCTCCCTAGCTCTGCCGTGCTAAGGAAAAACGCTGTAAAAACCTTCAGACGTTGCCAAATTTTCTTCAATATAATATGAATTTTCGAGGAAACCGTTGGTTGTTTCTCTTCCAAGTTTTTAGAGAATTTCACAAGCAGTTTGATTTGAAGTATTTGAAAATTTCAAGAAAAAACAAGCGGGAAAGTTCTAATACTGTCGTATTAGAAAAGCGCTCAGGTGTTAGTAAATGTATTTAGTGAAGAAAGGACGTATAAACTCCGTCGACTTGGCTGGGAAATGGAAATAAAACATCAGCTGATAGCAAACAAAGGTTACCAAGGAAACCGTAAACGCGTATTTTTGTTTCCCGAAAATGAGCTCACCGTTGAGCTCATCAGGCGCGTTTTTTTTAGGCTCCATTTGAGTTCAACGATCAATTTCGATAAGAATTACTCTACCGCTAAGAAATTTTCTTATAGACAAACGATCGAAACTACCTGCGCATTACGTTAAAAGCATAAAATACAGTTTTCACAGCTTTATTTATTTTAAAAATGGACATCCCCCCCCCCAAAAAGCCTACACATCGATGAGCTGGTGCGCCATTTAAACGCATTAGCACTAGTATACTAGTACTCAGAGGCAAGTCGAAATCAAAAAGCGCTGCCTATCGGCTGAGCGCTTAATTTTCACAATTTTTTTCAAAAACTAATATTTTATAAGAGGAAATTCGGCAACTCCTGATGGCTCATACGGTGTTTTTCCTTAGCACGGCAGAACTCGGATTACTCATGCAGTCTAATTGGACCTGCATTCTCCGATCGCATCGGTAGATGAGCATTTCATTCCGGTCGAGTGAGATCAACAACCAGTGGCGTGGCGTGCATTGCGATATATCGATTGTTATGCCATTTAAACCTATGGTAAAGAATCGATTATTAAGGTGTTCGCTGCGAACACCCTGTTTATCGATCCTTTTCCATAGGTTTAAATGGCATAACAATCGATATATCGCAATGCACGCCACGGCACTGCCAACAACCAGTGGCAAGGCGTGAATGATCGATTATCCATATTTTCCCATTTGAGGGTGTGGTAAATAATCGACTATTAAGATGTTCGTTGTAAACACTCTGTACATCGATCCTTTTTTACAGGTTTAAATGACAGGTGAATCGATAAATCGCAAAGCACGCCATGTCACTCCTGTCAACAGCTCCATTGACGCTACCACCAATAATACGAAGCGACGATTAAAAAACAATTAAAGAAACAAATAAACTCACAAATAGATTCACAGCCAGCGTATGGGACACTCGGTTTTCTTACCTGGTGAAAAGAAGAAAAACAAAAATTAGTGAAAACGAATATATGATGGACCCTTTTGCAGTATAACGCACCATTAGATTGACTCAACTGAATTCGACGATCGAACGAGACTTCATCTCAAATGTTGAGGTTGGAAAAATTAATTTGCTTGCCTCAATGGACTGGATTCCAATTGTGTTACATGGACTACATTTAGCGACAAGGAAATATATCTGGCTCACCCATACAATCACTGATCTGAATGGAGAAATCAATGACACGAAAAGTCTAAACTGAGTCATAAATGGAAATTCTCCATTGAGAAATGTATATTTCACATGTTTTACTTTAGAAGTCAATCCTGTCTTATCCACATTGAGTTTGAAAAAAGGACCATCTTTGAAAATAAAATTCATGACGATTTTTTCGGTAAGCTATAGAGATTATTAAATTTGTTGGCAAGCTTTCTTCTTTATGAGTAAGCAGCTTATTATATTTGCGAGTGACCCAGGAATTAAGGGTGTATTCATAGTCTTTTCCTCAGAGGCCTTCATTTTGCTATTGGGAACTAAAATTTCTAGCTCATCGGTAAAAACGATTATGCGCATATGGAAACTAACGGTGCTTCCGTTGTTTCTAAACTGAGACAGAAATGGGCCTGTTGCAAACTTTTGCTAGAGCAAAACTAAGAGTTGTTCCTTACAGATAATGCTTCAAAAATCACGATGAGCGCATCGGCAAAGTCTGAAATGCACTCATAACTTCACAATCTGCCCAAGAAATTTGCGGTTTTTTGAGCTTCCCGCTTCGAAAACGATACTACGGTACAGGTGAACATTTTGTTAGAGGAGTCGTTCCATTGGCGGCAATACTCATCATGGCCGACGCCAGTCCGCCGAAACACCTGTGATGGGACGAGATAACATCTGAACAGGATTAAACCAGATAACAATCGGCGTGTTTACGTTTATATTTTCCTCGCCCGCCTTAATTGATCTTGAACTCTCCTCGAATTACTCGCGGAACTGCGCAAGCGTCGGCCATTATGAATATTGCCGACGATGGAGGGACTCATCTAACAAAATGTTCACCTGTGCAGTAGTATCGTTTTTGAAGCGGGAAGCTCAAAATAACGCAAATTTCTTACGCAGATTGTGAATTTATGAGTGCATTTCAGACTTTGCCGATGCGCTCATCGTGATTTTTGAGGCATCATCATGAGTGGCGGTAGCCACCACCGGGCAAGTAACCTATCCTCCAACAATTGGCAACACAGCACAGTCCGGTCGAGGCAACGACACCATAGTTACACGAACTTGGCTTATTTGGGTTTTTAGTTGCGGTTCAGTAAACTTTTCAAAGCAACGGAGCGACGGATTTCAGAAATTTTGGTGTCTAAAGATGCGTCTCGGTCCCGTCTAACAGACTGTTGAGTTTCAAGGAGGTTGATGATTTATTAAATGAGATAATTACGCATATGTGCCTAAAATAGCAAAAAGTATCCACTTTGACCATTTTCACGCTCTGTCAAAGCTATGGAGAATACGAGACATCGGAGCCCTATATAATGTTATATCAAAAGAATTGTCATGTTCCCGTGTAGTGCGCGTTTAAGTTTCATTAATAACCAAGGCATCCTAAGAAAAATATTGCGTCTAAACTGCTTTTCGGGTGCAATGGGCGACCCGACCTGCTGACGTTTATCATTGAATTTCTCGCTTACACTATTCTGGAATGAAATTATGGTTATTTCGAGGGAACATCCTGAAGTTATGAGGATTCTAAAAATTATATATGAGTAGGGGTTTACTTTTACCGTTTAGGCTGTAGCTTTGATTATGTCCCAAAAATCGTAAAACCCGAATTTACTAACACATACACACGGTAGAGTGACAATGTTAGTGCTCTCTGCAGTCAGCATCTCACCAGCGGAACAACAAAACAAACCACGAATGTTAGGTTAGTTCCTGTTTCACAGAGCAGAGCAACAAAAACGATCGATACAATACGGAATCATTTGGTTTCAATCATTTCAATCCATTTACGACTTCAACAATGTTTGTGACAAGCATTATCATCGTATTTTACAACCTGGAGCAGAAGTTTATCGCCTCATCGTGAAGTGAATTCTGAATATCCAATCTTAGAACTCGAAACCACACCATTCTACTCTCTCATTGTTCTCTCTTCATTTTTGGTTCAAATCAAGTGATTTAAAGTCGCTTCACTAAAATTATGTGATCTTGAATCCATTCAAGAGTGCGAAGCTCACATTTTTCTGGCATATTACAGCCTTTTTACTCCTCAAATTCTACGGATATGAGTCCATTTCGCTCAAGGTTTTTCTGAGCTCTGAGCGATACCAAGTGTTTATACATTTAAGATAAGTGAGGTTTGTCTTTTGGTTCTTCTTTTAGCAGTTTTAAAGTAAATTAGGTATTACAGTACCTTCGTCCAGTTTTGTTTCCTTGTTTAATGTTTATTAAGAGTCTTTCTACGTTAACACTCAAGGACATACATACTTACGCTCAGGTACCAATACCATTGTTTTTCTCTCACGTCAGGATGTACCTTTAAGCATGCTAATTTACTAAAGAAACTCCTCCAGTGATAAATAATTTTAAGCTTTATTACGAAGTGAAAACCTCTGTGTGGTGTCGCTAAATTTCTCAGATAAGTCTCAGTTTAGACACGTAGAACAGACGTTCACTTTTGTCCGTTACGATCCCTGCTCTTATAGCTTCACATCTTACTTTGATCTCTGATTCATCGATTAATGGCACTTTTAGTTCCATTCATCATCAATCAGTTCAAAGCTATCTCAACGATGAATCATCAAACGTCATATCAAGGAAGAAATTTTCTGCTGAAAGCTATGCGACGGAATTGACAGTGCAACTCAACTTACGAAAGCATGAACCAGGACATAAGAATCTGTCTCTAAGTGAACATTTTTTTCAACTCATCAGGCAGTTTAGCAGGTAAGAAATCTACAGTTGATTAATTAAGGATTACCAGATTACATGCACACTGGTTTTCCAACATTTATGGTAGATAGGGATATTTTTATTGATAATGATTAATGACGAAACGAATATATCAATACCATGGCCAAACTGGGAAACTACTTACCGCAATCCACATAGTTCATCCTCAAAGACTTTCAGTCTTTTCATTTCTCTGCTGATAAATAATTCAACATAATTTCTGAAAATTGTGTAATTAATGACTTCGATGCGCAGAAAATTCTTTTCTGGGATTTTAAGCGTAGTGGTCACTAACTTTTCCCTGATTTTGGAATGTCCTCTTTTGACATTAGGTGTCTCAGATAAAAATTCTTTTCACAAAAATTTCAAGTTTTTACTTGACTTAATTTTAAGTGTTTAGTCTCTTTAAACTGAAAAGTCCAATTTTTTTTACTGGGAGAAGGAATTTCAATGCTCCGCAGCAAAACTACCTGACATATTTTCACAGTGAGGAGGGCTTAATTTCCTAACTTTTACAGAACCTGTCACCCTGTCTATCCCTCAGAAATTCAGTGAACCAGATGAGATTCAATGAGGGTCGTTGATAACTTTACCACTAAATTGATACCGCTTAAAGGATTTTGGAGGGAGCAATTTTACCCACTAACATTGTTGTCAAACAGGGTTTATTCATCAGAGCCCTGAATTGAGGAACCAAGAGAAAATAATTTGTTTTCATTTACTCCTCAAAGATGATACTATGACCATGATGCAGGTCAGTACCTATGAGAACTATATAGATCTCATAAAATTTCAGTAAACCTTGTCGCTGGGGGAAAGATCTAATACATACTGAAGATAATCATCGAATAATGTACTCTCCTAAATATAGACAAAAATTACAATGAAAATGTTCATTATTTGATGAAAAATAAAGTACAAAAATTTTCAGAGTCTCAGAGGACACCAAGAATGCCAAAAAATCTTAAAATAATTTCCTTTCACAAACAAAAATAAAAATGACACTGAACATTTTTAGCAAGGCTTCTTGATAATCAGAGAACAAAAATTTTGAGAGCTTGACACTTTTAATCCTTACAATTTTTAGATTGTAACACTAATGAGGTCTGGGAAGCTGTTGAATGCCCTGATTTCCAAACTTCTATTACTCAAGCAGCTGCACACATTTCTTTGAATTTCAATTCCATGGTAAAATTATTTCTATTGCATTGTAGTGTTGAGAATGTTGCCTATTTACTCATTGAAGGAACAATTTTTAGAGCAATTAATTTGAAATAAGTACCTACCGTTGTTGCAATTTATCATTGAATTTCTTCGTATTTCTTTTCTTTCTTCTTTTTCTTTTCTTGGGATTCTACAATTGTATTTCTTTTCAGGGATATCTACAGTTGTGTAGATTTTGATTTTTAAAACTCATCTCTTTTTAAAACTAAGAGAGCGTTGAAATAATTATCACTTACCATGTATAACTTTCTGCAAAATTTGCCTCATTTGAGCTCTCACAAGTTCAGTTGTAAAGTCAATTCAGCCATAGCTTTCTGAAGAAAATTTCTTCTTCGATCTAACAATTAATGATTAATCGTCGAAACAGCTTTGAACTGATTAATTAAAAATGACAGTCAAGGGTGTAAAAAAGTAAGACGGATCCGAGAAACTTTGCTACACAGCAAGGAGATATCCACTTCATAGCTATAAGCATTAAATGGATTACATTTTGCAATTAGGAGCCACTATTTCTGGTCCATTTTAGAAACAGAATACATGCTATTGGTTTCCCTATGCAGATATGTGCTTCTATGGGAGAGCCAGAGGTAATGGTTCCTTATTGTTAAATGTAATCCAATTCCTTCACAAGTGCGGGACTTCATTTGGTAAAATAACAGTTTTCTTGCAAAAATGAGATGATATAAACTCCAAAAAACCCAAAAACTTGGGTAAAGAGACTCCGGGCAAGTCACCATCCTCTTGCCAAAACCCTCCAAAAGCTCTTCTTTGTTCCCCTCTTCAGTGGAAAAAGAAAATATCACACTACGACAGTTTCCATTTCTGTCATAGAGTACCCCAAGCGGACCAAA